ATGCATGAAGTTAAACTCACAAATAAGTCTTTAACTGAGATGTTCTGTAATATATGGAGCTTATTATTTGACTTTTAATTAACGTTGCTATATAGTACATGATGAAATTGTATTAAAAAACTCATTTGAAATTATAAAAAATGCAGACTCAATTTTTACAGATCAGGTGCTCCTTTTTGGACAGGATTGGTGAATGTTTTTTTCTTTGAAATGTCATAAAATAGTTTGACCCATTTCCAAGAACAAGATGAATACTGGGGATTGAGCTGGACTGTCCCAACAGTTAACATATTTTGACAGCTGCAGAGTTGAAAGGGGAATTCTTTAATAGTGACAAGAGACAGTCTGTGCAACAATTTCAGAACTGTATAAAACCACAAGAAAGCAGCTGGGAGTGAAGGCTGAAGTTCCAAGTCTCTTGATTGCTTTTCTGAGACATTGTGTGGTAAAGCGTTTTTTTTCTGATCGTCTCCCAACAGATTGCTCGCAAGGACTTGCATGACTATTCCTTGTTCATGAAGTTTGTGTGGTGGGCAGCGCTCCTGTGGATCTAAGGGTGCAAATACCTGTAGCTCTGTATAGGGTCACTCTGTACATTCTGACAGTTTCTCTGTCCCTGAGTTTCTTACTTAGAAATTTATGTTAAACAGTCAATCAAACAGAATAACAGCAAAACAAAACCCATAGAACATTTTGATGTTGTAAAATGAAGAACTCAGAGACTGAATGGATCCCACCATACAAAAATTTTCTGCAGTTTTCAGTTCTTCCCTTTTGCACCAGTGTTGTTGAACAGATTCACGCTGTGCAGTAGCAGAACCCCAAGGACTGGGCAGCTTCCTGAAAGCAGTCTCAGAACAAGCCATCAAGTGGCTGCACATGTTCAACTGAGATCTTGTTTCCAAAATATCTTTTCCCATTGGCTTTGAATATGTTAAATTTATTTCACTGCTTGGAAATCTTCTATAAATTTTCTTTTAATGTAGCTTTACTTGTGTCCTTCAAGCTCAAGATCTTCCTTCAGAACTTAGGAAATAAGGGAGGATTGTTTCTTTGCTTTTTTTGTTCTGCTTCTCTCTAAGCAGAATAGGTTTTGTTGATCTTCAGCTTCTGAACCTTCTTATCGCCTGCTTCTGGCATTGCTTTTATTCCTGGGACAGTATTTTAGTTTTAATAGCACAGAAGGACTCAGTTCATATCCAGGGAAACGTTCTTCCCCCTGAAAGTTTCCCTGACTCAAAGCCTTCCACCTTGCTTCCCCTAGGGTGAGCCATGTCATCTATTATTAGTGCTAAACCCTAATGGGCGAAGTTGAAGGTTATGGAAAATCTTGTGGAACAAGCGAATACAGTTCATTGGAAACATGCTTCAAGTCAGCAATTCCAAAGAGCTGAACATTTTAATTGTTTAACAACTGTGGCCTATTAATTACACAGCAAAGTGGAAGCAAAAGTTGTATCAGCCCAAGATATTCCAACAAGCATACACTGATACTTGGCCAAAACATTCCAGCTCTTTTTGACTACCCTATCCTGAATAGGTGCCAAGTTCTTGAAAGGAAGAGTGCTTGCAGGCTTGTAAAAACTAAATTCAGGGCACTACAGATCAGGCTGATGTGCCCTCTGACGTTCCTTTCTTTAAAGAGGGGTGTTTGACATGATTATATTGACCATGAAGAGAAAACCCAAAGAGGTAACATTTCCTCTTGGAAATCTTAATGTTAATGCTTAATCTTGGAGTCCTGTTGACATACTGAATTGCTTTTGTTTTCTTTGGTTACATGATTTTGAAGAATAAAACTATTCACAGTCTGAAGTAAAACTATTGTGCTAGTCCAAAGGCTTGAACTGCTGTTGTGTTATCTTCTCTTTTTGTACTTTATATATGGAAATAGGTTGATTTCAAGAAGCTAAATATCCTAGCATATGTATACCCTTTTGAGTACTTCCTGTTGTGTGTCTGAATGTCTCATCCATATAATTACCAGCAGTATTTTCCTCTGTTCATTTCCACAGTATCTATTTTGAGCATTTCATTATCATTTGTTACTTATATTAGTTTTATTACTTCAAAGTAAAGGTAACTATAACAAGCACAATTTGGTTAAGCACTCGGTTTCTAATAAAGTATATCAGTGAAATTTGAAAGATTTTCAACTGTATTTTTATTTTACAGCTTCCAAAAAAAATGCATTTACATGAAACAATGTCTACTAAATGAGCAGCTCAATTAAAAAATGGTACAAGTATACTTCATTTAAAATTTAAATGCATAAAATTCAAATGATATTAACAGAACATTTGTGTTGCATAATTTTTATGTGGACTATTTCCCTTTCAATCCCAGAAGTGAGATTTCTTAATGGAAAGTGTTTCTTGAGAAGTGGTGCACCACCCTCTGTTTGTGTTGTAGTTTGTGTCTCATTCAGTCACATTCAGTCGTTGGAAAGCATGTAGCTGTCTGCTACTGGATCTGTCCCTGCCTCACATCTGCCATTGACTGTGTTGGAGGCAAGTGTGTGTATTAGCTCCCTAAATACACGAAACAGACTAAGGAAGTGTCTTCAGACAGGTTCCCATGTGTTGTTGCTTTTAAAATATGATGTGACAACTCTACTGGCAGCCTTGGGGCTTGGCAATATGAGGACATGCCTTGCCTTCCCAACAGGCAGTGAGCAGCTTCAACACTCTGAAAAATCCATCTTGAGAATATCTCTAGTTGTAGCCACTTACATTGGGCAGGTTGGAATGATTGGTTTTCTAACTTTGAAACAAAACCTTTCTATTTGGGCTGAGCTTATATTTGATGTGTATGATATTATGAATTCTAGACCTTCTTTTTCAGTTTAGTCACTTTAGCACTGAAATCTTCCTGTTTGGTTCGGCACATGAATGCTGAGCATAAATTAGGACCTAGATGAATAAATCCCAAAAGCACTTTGTTATAATAGTTCAGTAACAAATTTCATTGTTTGTACCTCCAGATGGATTACCACCATGAATAATGGATTTTCATTTGTAAGATTTTATTGGCTAGGAATTATAGTGACATTTCAAACCGTATGGCAATGGATTGCCCCAATTTGGGATGACTAAATCCTGAGGGTATTCCAGGAGTTTTTTTATTATATGGATTAATCTCTTGCTGGCATGTTTTGAGGCTGATAAAAGATTCTATCATTCAGCTATAGCATTTAAAAATGCTTGCGGCTTTTGGTGTTTTTAATGAAAATTTCCTAATAAATCTTCTGGAGGTGCAGTTTGGTCTGGGCATGTGATATCTTGTTAATGTTTTCATTTGGAAAGAAACTGGTTCTGTCTTCAGAATTTTTTTGAATTTGTAAAATTATTAAATACAATGTGGTATTTTCAGATTATTCATTCCTGTATCAATTGGAAAGCTTATCAACTACTGAATGCTCTATTTGCATCCAATTTAGATATCTTTAGATTTTTGTGTATGTGTATTTCTGTAGTATACATATGGCTGCACACATTGATACACTGCGTATGTTATGTGTATGAATGCTAATGTTAATTTACAGGAAAACTGAAGAGATACCCTAGAAGAAGTAAGCAGGAGAAAATTACTTGAGCTAAAGATGGAACTGAGTGGTATAAATCACCCTATGTTAAGTAATCACAACAGCTTGCGAAGCAGGGGTCTCAGGAACTGTGTAATTCCACAGTGCTTAATCTAATGGTCAATCAGCTAATGCAGTTACTGTTTAATGTTTAGTTCAAATCAATGGAGCCATCTGGGAACAGCGCATCAGAAAAACTTTGTAGCTCAAAGAGTCTCTGCCATGTTTATTTTATAAAGACAAATAAATATATTGATACTTAAAGACATAATTTGTAGAGACCGCCAAGTGTTGTGGCTCATCCAGTTTCAGTTTTGTTTGTGCTTTTTACTTTGGAGGGGAAAAAAGTAAACATTTGCATTTAGAGACTTTGAGACTATCATGTAAAAAAACTTTCACCCCATTCAAGTCATTGGGTGATTTATATGTACTGTACTCTCTAAAGTATCAGCAAGATAATAGCTATTATTCCCAAAGTTGTGCTTGACTTCACTAATGCATCAGAAATAAAAAGAGAAAATTTGTCATGGGCAATGAAATAGCTGTGCTAGGCTGAACTGCTTTCAAATTAGAACAAAATATCAACCCAGAAGGACAAGAAATGTGCTAAAAAAAATGAAGCTGAAGAAAAAACACAGAGCATATTTCTGAAGTAATAACTGTTTCCTTTATACCAGGATTGTACGTGTAGCTGAGTAGAAAAAAAAAATGCAACCATTCCTCTGTAGTTTGAAGAAATTTTTACTTGCATTATATAATGACATGCATTATTCATCCTCTAAGAACTTGATATTTTTTCTAACTACTGATATGAAACAAAGTAGGTTTTTTTTCAGTAAAAATAAACTCTTGTTTAAGATGTGGGGTTGGTTTGTTTTTCTGACAGTACGTGTGAGCACACTCAACTTGAAATGTAACTTTCTATTTTGATAATTCTTCTTTGAAAGGGGACAGGAAAGAGATGGGTCACACATGGAACCTGATGTTTCACAGACTGATGCTGTCCTCCCTTGTCATTGCTGTGATGAACGAGCAGTGTCTGACTGATGAAAAATATGTATCTGTCAAGGATGTGTTTAGGCTGATTCATCTAATAAGTCATTTCTTGCTGTCCCGTTATAACCTACAGGCATCTGATTTCTAAGGGCTGTCATTTCATTATATGACACTGCCACTCTATCCTGAATGGGTTACACAGGAAGGAGTTTGTCAATTTTAAATACTTTCTCTTGGTATTCAACTAGGAAGTATTTCTTCTTTCTGATCATATTATCATTAATTATTTCAGTAGATCCTTGTAAGTCTTTCTTGAGTTAAATGTACATTAATTATGTTTATTCTCTGTAGATTTCTGATATTTATGTATTAATGGTGTGGCAACATTCTTAATTTAAAAAAAAATTTGTTTCTGGTGCAGGTAGAAGAGGGCTGGTGGGAAGGTATCCTTAATGGAAAGACGGGCATGTTTCCTTCCAACTTCATAAAGGAACTGTCTGATTCTGATGATGCTGGAATAGCACAGGAAGAGCAAGTAAAGCCAAGTAAGAAAAAGAATTATTCATGTTCTGTATGTACATCTGTGTGCTTTCCCAACATATTGAGAGGGTAGTGCATTCTTATCTCTTTCTTGGAAATATTTTTGAATGCTTTATTCTTTATTTATATTGTGAAAGTGTCAAGTGATGATGCTAAATGAATACTGGCCATGCTACTTGGTTTGTAATGTTGGTGGTGCTACTTAAGTTGTGTTGAGACTTGCCCAGCTGAAACAGATTGAGGACATGGAGGGCAATGATGATTATCAGCTTTGTCTTTCCAAATGAATTAAGATTTTTTTTCTTGTCTCTAGATGTGGAAATTGAGCAAAGTAATCAAACATTTTCAAAGTGGCTACGCTTATTTAAATGAGGGATTAAAGTGCCATTCCTTCTTTAATGACTCCAGTAGACTTAGGATTCATAATTCATAATTCATAATGTGTGGGACATGCAGCACTTTTTCCCTCCAGGTGCTGAGCATGTTACTATCACCTCCGCCACCCAGTGCCCCAGCAGCCAAAGGGAAAAAGGCCAGAAATGGGACATGGACTTTGTTCTCTCACTTACAGTGGGCCAGTACTGCTGCAGGTGAAAAGCATGTTTGGTAATTAAGTTTGCAACAGTATAAGCATGGTAGTGGGTTGCCCTTTTTATAGCTTTCCTTGAAGAATAACCTGAACCAAAAGTATGCATTTCTATGAAATGGATATTTGTTGGTCTTCATGTTTTTTTCTAATTTTCAAACAGTCTGTTACATCCTGATTTAGTGATTGATTTGGAATCCTTAGTGAAAAGAAAAAAAGTCAATTGTATTGATGTATTTCAGGATAATTCCACATCTACTTGCCAAGTTCTTCCTTTACAGTCAATTACTATTTTCAGCAGTGCAGATATTCATTGCTGTATAGTATTCTTCTGAGATCTTTGCAACAGACAAAATTGAAAGGGCTCTCAAGATCTCTGAAAGCTTATTTCAGCTCAAGTTTACCAAAGCCTCTATAGCTCACTTTGCCAGTGAGAGCAGAAAGTTATAATGTTTCTTTTTTATTACCTTTTTTATTCTTTCATTTTTCCATTTAAGGCAAGTTTATCATCTTTATTCTGTCACACAGAGATAGGATTCTAAGAAAACCAGTGTATGCAATGATGAAAATATTTCCTATTGATTTTGTAATAGAGTTCTTATTCACATATAGTGGCACAGGTGACCTAGTTATGTGGTCAGAGGAACTAATGGTGTTTACAGGTAATGTTTCTTATCCAAATGAAAATGTGTGTAAAAAAGTTAACAACTGTAGTGTGTTGGAAAAGGAAGATATGCATTAAGTGAATCTGCACACTTCAGCAAGATTGGAAGCTGCTGCCTGTAATTCATATATGCTGTCATGAATTTGTGTCATTATAAAAACAGCAAGTGTTGGAAGAATTAATTGTATAGATGTGGTGTTATCTCTGGATTCTGTAGTGCTTGGTAGCCTATAAATGAAAAAGGTAAGTGATACTAATAGGGATGGACTGCCTCGATTCTATCTGTATGAAGAAATAAATATTTTTTCCCCAGGTAGTTTGATAATTGTCTATTATGAGCATCCTAAAAGTGTCTTTTAATAAAAGCACACGTTGGAGAGCATAACAGCAGACACAAAGCATTAGATTGTTCCATCAACCTCCCTACCGGCATATACTCAGTTCATACTGTCAGTTTTGTGTGCTAGTGGTGGTGACTGCCACCTGTCACTTGTAGGACTTGTACTGAGAGGATACCAGCAACAAAGATATTGGTTTTGTCTCTTTAACTAAAGTGAAGATTTACCTGAGATTAATTTTTCCCCCCTTTCATATCTATTTTCTAATGTCATAAACCAGAAGAATTCTGTAAGCCCTCAAAGAGACAAAAAGGGATTCAAGGAATGTTGGTGTTCTTGTGGAGGCTTTACTGCTTTTTTATTTTCATTTATTTTTCTTAAAGTAACACTGCCTATTTAGGAACTGCATTTCCCTAGGAGAAGTAGGGAATTATGCACCAACTCAGTACTTTCTATATGCTTTGTATGATTTTTATAGGTGTTATACTCATTACACATGGTGCTTTACGAGGCTGTATTCAGGTACCCTCTCTATATTTGAAAATCTCTATAATGAGATTACAAAATTCTGCAAGGTTATATATATGACTAGGAGTGATAATATCATTTCAAGCATCTGCATTTATTCTTAAAACACAGCACGATCAAAAGCAGCTAAACTCTGGAAGATTTGGATATAAGGCATACATAACTTTCTAGGCAATATCTTGTAAGGATATACATTCATGCTCCTAGATCAACTCCCCCCTCCTAAACTAAAAGACATGACAGCACATCAAATCTGCAAGAACTCTTTTTTTTTTTTTTTCAGGAGACATTGCTTGAATCTGTCTCCATCATAGGATTTTATGAGGCAGAAATCTTGAATATGAATTCTGGATTTTTAAGGATTTTTTTCTGGATGAACACTTGGATCCAAGAGGCTTTACCTGTGCAGTGAAACAGACCTTGGGTGGTCACTGAGGTTCTGCACAGCTCCTAGAGAGTCCTAAAACAGTTTTGAGTACAGCTCTGCAGTCTTGAGCAGCGGTCTTAAACTCTTCAGCATAACTAACAAACTGCAAGGCTTGGTAGAGTAGCATGGGATCTTTGGAGAAAGGACATTGTGCAGACACAAGCATATTACTAACTTGGTAGTTTATGTGTTAGTTAAACAATGTTTTATTTTCATTTTACTGACCTTCTCTGGAGAGAATCCTTTTGAAGGCACAAACATAATTGTTGATGATCTCCACAGAAGTAATAGAGTGAAGTTGTATAGCTTGTCTTTTTAGAAACAAAGATAATAAACATACACTTTTTTCTTTCCTTTTAGTATGTCCTACAGAGATCTAATGGGGAAAAAGATGCTGTCTGTTTTTGTGTCCGTTTATGTTTTACAGCAGATCAAATGCCAGAATGAATTATCTTAGTTTCTTTCCACTTAACCTCAGAAAATTCTTTAGAACAAAAATCTGTGGTTGTTTTTGTTTTTTTAAATGCCTGGGCTAGTTTTGGAAGTGCCTAAATATGTCTGAAATCATATAGTGGGTTTTGTTAGCCCCTAAACTGAAAGGGCCAGAACAATGCTTTCACGTAGATGGTAGGTGCTTAGCAGATTCAAAAATGAGATTGTTACGAGATCAGAAGATACATACATACATAATTTAAATATTTTCCCAGCTGTAAGGTCACTTCCCTATTTTTTGTCTTCAAAGACACATTTTGAAATACAACTAGGGCCAGGTTCAAGTACCTTTAGAGGGAGTGTGTTTCTTGTTCTTCAAAGCATCCTCAGCATTGTTTTTCCCCAAAGACAGGTACACAGTGTGAACAGCAAGTAGACATTATAATTTTATTACTACATTTGATATATGCATTAATTCTAAGATTTTTTTTGAGATTTCACAGATATCTAGTAGTAATATTAAGAATATTTTGAGTGTTTCTTGTATTTCTACAGGCTCTTGAGGTGCAAGAAAGTTGTCATATAATTAAATGAATTACATTTGAGAGTCAGAACGTATTATTGAGATGATATCCAAGGCATTTTAGTATGTTCATGGCAGTGTTGTGGCAACATTTAAATGAAGCCTGTTATGTCTCACTGCCTCGCCCGTTCTTCTGTTCAGAAGTTGCCAGACCGTATCAACTCTGCTTAGAACCTTTCAGTGATGGCCACTGAGAAGTCATGATTGCAGGAGCTAGAATCAATGACAGCAGCTGTTGTTTATGTCAGGCAACCTACTGTATTTTTAATTAAAATTTTCTGATATCTGATCCTCTCTGTCTGACTCTTTCCACTGTCACGAAGCTTAATATATCTTTCTCTTAGCATTTTCTTAACTGTAGCTTGAATATTTTAATAGCTTTCTTTTAATGCTATCTTGTGTAAGCAAGCTGAGAAAATGAATTTGTGGCGTTTTGGCTTCCTTATTTTGTAAAAATAACACAAGAAAGATATTTTGCTGTTAACTGAACTACAAGCACAAAACAAAGAAACTGCTTTTTACGATGTATAAATAAGTTTAGCTTTTGTTTTCTGAAAAGTCCAACAGAATGACATGCAAGAAAAAAATCTACATTTTTTGCTTTCAAAATGGGTAGATGCTATATTGAGAAAATTCATGTGCACTACTTTGCTAAAAAATTCTACTGAAGACATTCATTTTTATGATGGTTCACCTAGATATATTGGCAGCAAGCTGACATTGATACATTCTTGGGCTTGCCTGGATACCGTGGGTTAACATAATAAGAAACAACAGAACAACTCAGATGCTTTTACCTTTTGCCTTCACTTGAATTTGTGTCAATTGTCAGAACATGAGTTGTCCTGGTATCAAAGAAAAAAAGAAGAAATTCATGCTTTTGGTAGGGAGAACTTTATCTTAAATATCTGAATGAGAGGTGGAATTTGGTTTTGTGTATTTATGTGTACGAACGTATATATCTGTTAAAGTGTGACAGTAGAGCCAGTTAAGCCACTGGCTGAAAATCTGCTTTATTCAGGTTTTGGTGTTCAGTTTGTTTAAGCATTGTTTAAGACTAGGCCCTGAGTCAAAAACAATTATAATAAGTCCTCATGGAAAAATGCAGTATTTCTAATGCTCACAGGATCCTGGTATGTTAAAGAAATTTGAGTGTTTCAGTGCCCTCTTTGGATTTCAGCTGTGCTTGTTCAATGCATCTGCATCAGGACTGTTGAGCCACTGTGAGTACATCATTGCAGTACTAACTTCTTTCAGGCTTCCCCTTTGCTCCATGAAGAGGCTGAATAAGGCAAATTGTTTTGTTTGCAAGTTTTGCAACATGATGGACAACAGATAAAACCTAAGAAAAAATGCATTCTGTTGGACATTGTAAAGAACAACTTCAGCAAAATCATGAGATTCCTTATCTGATAGACATGCAGTAAGAATAATTTAACTTCATGTG